CTCTAAGCACTTTAAGGATATTGTCCAAAAACTTAAAAATCAGCCCTTTTTTTATGAATTAAATCTTATAACTCGTAAACGTAAAATCTTAAATTTATAAGAAATCAAAAGGGAGCTTACAACAATAGATATAAACAATTTACCAAAGTTTCATAAAAAATGCTGAAAGCATTTTTGAGCTATTGTCTGAAAACTGGAAAATCCCCCTTTTTGTAATGAATAAAACCCCATAAATCGAAAACGTATAGTCTAAAATTTAAAAAAATCAAAAGGGAGCTCATGTCGATAGAAATAAACAATTTACCAAAGTTTCTTGCAAATTGGTGAAATTGTTTTTGAGTTATTGTCCAAAAACTGGAAAATCCCCCCTATTTTAATGAATAAAACCCCATAACTCGGAAATGTAAAATCAAAAATTTATAAAATTCTAAAGGGAGCTTACATCAATACTGAATAGATATAAACAATTCACCAAAGTTTCATAAAAAATGCTTTCAGCATTTTTGAGTTATTGTCCGAAAACTGGAAAATCCCCCTTTTTGTAATGAATAAAACCCCATAAATCAAAAACATATGGTCTAAAATTTATAAAAATCAAAAGGGAGCTCATGTCGATAGAAATAAACAATTCACCAAAGTTTCTTGCAAATTGGTGAAATTGTTTTTGAGATATTGTCCACAAACTGGAAAATCCCCCCTTTTTTAATGAATAAAACCCAAAAACTCGGAAACGGTAAATCTGAAATTTATAAAAAACGAAAGGGAGCTCACTTCAATAAATATAAACATTTCATCAAAGTTTCATGCATATTGGTCAAAGCGTTTTGGAGTTAATGTCCGACATGTTGACGACAGACGGACGGACAGAGGGTCAACGGTATACCATAATACGTCCCGTAAACGGACGTGTAAAAACTATTATAAACTGATTATTTACGTGAATTTTCTATGTCCAAAGACCATAACTCTGCACAAAATTATCAGACTGGAACAAAATTCCAACTTGATCTGTAACTTGTCATGATAAAACTATATACTATTATCAAATCAATATCTTCAAGAATGACAAACAAACCTATCACTAAATTCTTCAAACAATTTACCAAAGAAAAGGAAAAAAAATCCAAAATGTCATTTTGTCTTTTAAAAATCTTTTAAAAAATGAGTTATTTCCCTTTGAACAGAAATCTACTAATTAATAAGTATTTCATCAAAAATTTAATTCTATGGAAAGGGCTTTAACTGAACAAAGAGAAAAGCTAAAATCATGAAAATTGAACTTGACCTGTAACTTGTCATGATAAATCAATAAACCAAATAACAAATCAATATCTTCAAGCACGAAGACAAAAAAGTCTGGAAATTGATTTGCCGGACTGACAGACAGACAGAGTGCAAACCTAAAGTCCCCTTCGACTTCGTCCGTAGGGGACTAAAAACAAGGACATGTTAATATGATTGCTGATAAGACAACTATCCACCAGAGTTCAAATGATATGCATGTAAGCCTTCAACAACGAGCAAAATCTGCACCTTATAGTCAGCTATATATGTTTTATAAATGACAATGTAATGCAATATCATGAAAGAAATCTAAATATGGGAACAAAAAAACAAAAAAAATCAAAGGAGTAAAATAATGCCAAAGAATGAGACAAAATAAATGCTGAAAACACATGTAGCATGTAAAAAATCTGACTCAGTGTGTCAGTCTTGTGAAAAGCAGTGTACACTGACCTCTATGTGTCTTTTGGTTATTTTTGTGGTCGCATTGCCATCTCATTGTAGTATATCCAACATCTCCATTTATTCATATACAATATATATTCATGTCATGACATTAATATGTATTTTTTTCTTCTTATGTAGCCATCAATAAAAAAAAACAATCTTTGAGATGTTGGATTATAAACATATTGTATTTCTTGTCTTTAATGGGGGATACATGTATGTCTTCAGAGGGTCCACTAGCAAGCTCATTAAGGTTCTATTTATATTTCATTCACTTTTGAAGAAATTTGTTGAAGAACTTTTTGTACTTGTAAAGACCTGCTGTTAATCTTCATTAACAGAACAGAGTGTGTAAATTTAGATGTGAATATTGGTGCTACATGTACATGTAGTAAATTAATCCCCATTTGAAAATTGCAAATGACACACCAGATGCATTTACTATTAATTACTCAATTTGATAAAAGTATCTTAGATTTCCTTGTTTTTTAACGAAGACTACAATTTTGAGATCATGTTTGTCATCAATTATATACTTAGAGTTGATTTCCAGTACAGGATCCCTAAGGTTCCTCTTCACCAGACTCATATTCATAATTTAAATTGTTTAGCATAATATTTTGTCTGTGACTTCTGGATACTTCTGCTTTATAGTCATTGTAATAGATCTCATCAGACCAACATTTATCTAGTCGATTTTTGATGGCATTTATGAAGGGGGCTATAGTAATTTTGTCTGGTAGTTTGTTCAAGGTTTTAGCTATTCTAATAGAGAATGAGTGTTTACAGATATTGGATTGAAATTTTTGATGGACTCTTTTGTTACTACATTGTGTATTTGTCCTGCTACTATTCTTTGTTGTGTATCCTCTGCCATTTTTAAAAAGGAGCTGGCATCCTTATCATAGTGGCCATTTATAGTTTTGAAGGTTTCAATCATATCCCCTTGTATTCTCCTATATGATAATGTAGGAAAGCCTAGTTTTTAAAGTCTCTCTGGATAACTCATGTCTTTGAGGCCTGGTCATTGTTTTGTTACCCTTCTTTGGACTCCTTCTTTTTGTCAATATCTTTTTTATTATATGGAGACCAGGCTGAACTAGCATAGTCCAAATGAGTTCTGACCATGGTTTTATACAATGGTAAGAATGTCTCAGTGCCCAAGTATTTAAAAGTTCTCCTAAGAACTGCAAATATTGAGTTGGCCTTATTTACTTTTTTGCTTATATGGTTTTCAAAAGTGAGTTCAGAGTCAATTAGGACTCCTATATCCTTTTCCTCTTTAACCTTTGCAATTGATTCGTCAGGTAGACTCTGTTTTCTGCTCTTTGGTCAGGTTGTTGTCTCTTTGACACATTCCCTTTTTCCATTCTCAATTTTATAACAAGTTGAATGTTCAGTAGGGACCTTAGTCATGAATGATAAACAGACTGATAAATTGCTTATTATATTTATTTCATTATAGAATTACCTATATTTTTATCAACCGTCATTTGTAACAATTCCAATGTCAAGCCTTCATGGTTCCTCCTTAGTCATGAATGACCACAAGCTGTCATTAAAGTTCCCAAGTCGTTTTCTTGCTACTTTGGTAATTGTTTAGGACATAAAAATCACTTTTAAATTCAGAAGTCATTAACCGGTATCGACGATTTGCAGCATCAACAAGAAGTTTCGTACCCATTTTGTAAAAAGTTGAAGAAAGATTTGGGGGGGGGGGCAAAAGTTTACAACTTAATGGTTTTAATGACTTTAAATTGCAAATTCCATAGTAAAAGCTCAGAGTAATAGACTATGCAACATGCAGCTTTTGATTCGAATGTAAACTGGATGTATTATTTGATTATTAACTACGAAATGAACACGGAATTACGATCTGAAATTTAATCAGATTATCAAGTTGCACTTAATATTCATGTATTTACTTTTGAACTTGTAAAATGATTCAATATTCTCGATAATTGCTGTACCCATATTATTTGGCATGAAATTATGTTCTGTTTTACATCTTATTTTGTACTTGTTTAAAAAGGGGGATGCTGGTTGTGTAAGTCAACATAAAAGCACATGTTCGACTTGTTAAACTTTTTTCTTCGTAACTGGATTTAAAATTTATTTTTCAATCAGTTTTCATTAGCATTTGGTGAAATGTAATTAAATAATGCAATCAATCGTCTATACTGATCAAGTGTTCTCTTGTCAGTTGTGTCGATCTTTCTGTACAAGTGATTTTGCGATCTTTAGCCGGATATCCCTCAGGGCTTTAAAACTGTAATCAGGACTCTTTGGATTATAATACAATTAAGGGTTATGCAATTGCATGCAATTGATAATAATTGCTAACAAAAATGGCGGCTAACGAAACGAAAACAAATTTTGACAATGGCGGAAGATAATATAACCATGGCAGGGATCATTTCACGATGGGGGAAGATATTTTAACGGTGGTGGTGCGCCATCATAAAACAGGTCATGGAGGTCCCTGGGTCAGTGCAATTTGATTTCTTACTTATTTTCATGTGTTTACATTTTTCAGGATGAAATTTAGAAGCCATTTGTCACTCAAAGATTCCAGCTTATTTAGGTCTTGTAAAATTTCCCCGTCATTTTGATTTTTATTACTCTGAAAATCTTGGTGTCATCTGCGAATAGATGGGCATCAGAATCCATTTGGTCAGGAAGGTTGTTAATATATAATACAGATAACAGTGGGCCCAATACTGATCCTTGGGGATCCCTGATGTAACATTTGCCAAGATATAGCATTATTATCCCTTAAAAATCTAACAATTGCATATATATGTAGGCAACAATCTTTTCATTAATACTACACATATCATGTACATGATGTACATTTTGTGAATGTGAAATTTTATATTTCAATATATACTATTTTTTCAACATGCAAACTGTAAGATCATATCTTTAAAACATTTAAATTAAAGATTTCCAAACTGTGATAAAGGTGAAGAAGTAGGATACACAGTCATGACTTTCAGGAAGTTGTTTATTGATTATAAAAAACACACCTAACGTTAGTAGTGCATTGTAGTACAGAAAATGGCAGATCAAATTCTTGCTGTTACACAGCATATTTTTATGGGTATTCCATATATAATTCGACGTTATATTTTTTAAACCTATTTTTCCTCAATCAGCATAATAGTCAATTTGACAATTGTCAATATTTTTCTGAACCTGGCTTGTACATAAACAGACTGATAAATGGGTTACTTTTAACAAAAACCATTAAAAACGTTATCTTGTACCTGTAATCGGATATAACTTGATTTTCCTCTTGACAATATTTCTTCTGGAATGAATGGTAGATGCGTATTTATGTGTCTTTTGTGTATTATGACTATTATCCCTTTCTCAATGTCTCCTGATTAGATGACGTCATTTGTCATGTGCCCTTGACTTTCACTTCTAATTTTAGTAACAGTAAACATCACGATGTTTCCGGTGACCATTGTTCATCAAAATATAAAATAATAAATTATGTTAACTGATGGATTTTTTTTGTTTAAGTTGCCAAAACCTATCATTACAAAGAGATATTTTTTGATATAATGTTGACCCCCCAATGAAACCGGAAGTAATCCCTAAAATGGCCATCACCGATCATGGCCACCAAAACAGATGAAAGTGTAACTGGACAAAAATACACACGACAGCGCAGCAACAGTGATCCTCAACCAAACCTGGAGGAATCAAAAGACACACTGTCTGTCAAGGGTAATCATAAACAAATGTCTATGAAATCAGCCATTAAACAAAGAGAAAATGTCCCCACCCCGGTCGATATAAACTTTAAAATTCCAGTTCAAAATTTAGTCACTTCCTTTGTTACTTTTCGCAATAATTAAATTGGTTGTAGTTTTTAAATGATGTATTGAAACATTTATATGTCGAATAGTAGCTTCTTGTCAAAATTAAGATGAAGTATCTCCTGTATTCATCTTTGATTCAGATTGGGACTCATTTGAGGACCTGTACATGTCAACACTGAGACACTACATGTATCAATAATTCGACCTTACAATGGCTGATGTTAACATATAATTATAGAAATTTGTTGCTTTTGTATTTTGTAACCTGAAATTAGGTTTTCACTGAAAATAACGAATGAACATTTTTAAAAAGGTTATTTTTTGTGGGTTCTATAAAGCCTTTCGAAAAGCATACACTTTATCGCTATTTTATTCCATTCCGGATAAGTTCTGATATTACACAACTCTTTCAAACCAGTTGAAGCTATCTGGGGCCCTGTTTAGACAATGTACTGTGCATACAATTTTTCTAAGAGTAATGTTTAATCCATTGTAAACACTTCACAAAAAGCATTTTTCTATGCTTTAATTTGTGTTTAAAAAATTGGATCATAAACTATACAAATTTCAAAATGTTCACACCCTGCACGTTTTCCTCCCTTAGCTCAATACTGAAGACCTTTGTTTTGCGACAATTGACCCAAACAGGAAGTTGTCTAAATGACTGTGTTTTCTGGAATGGACTAAATAGCAATAAGGTGTATTGTATTCTAGTGTCTATTTAGTCTGATCAGATCAGAGACTTAAATTTTGATTGTGTACAATGTCATGTACTTTGACATTGCTACATCATGCATGTGTCAACCTAAATAACTAACTTACAACTTAGGACCTCTTACAATATCTGTGAACAACTTATATAATTACATGTAGCTGGTTCTTCTGGGAATGCATGATCTTCCAACTGGTGCTTTTTCCCCCAAAAAAGTTGATGTCACAAAACAAATATCTTTATGTCGCAATGTTCCAAGTTTTACCCCAAATGACCCCAGGTCAACTGGGGCAGTTCGTTCATAACATAGAAATTGGAATCTTGGTGATGATAACCGAAGGTAGAAGGTTCCAATCTTTAATTGTATTGGAAGTAAGTTGAATTACCAAGTGTTTGTCTTAGAAGTAATTCTGAGAAAGTGATGACTATGCATTTCCTTTGTTGTTCTTTGTGGTTGTTGAAGATTTTCTGATGGTATTTCTGCTAGACGGTGTATGCCTTTACAAAAAAAAATTAGTCTGTTTAATCTTCCCCTATCTTTCAGGGATTCTATTTTAATTTGGTTTAGGATTCAAAGTCATACTATCTTGTTCATAACTGTAGTCAGATTTTATGAATCTTGCTTCTCTTTTCTAAAAGTTTTCTAGGTTGTCCTGTAAATATTGATGAGGGTTCCATACTGTGCTTTCATATTCTAGAACAGGTCGGATTAGTTCCTTGTATGCCTGTAGTTTGTCCTGATATATTGATGAGGTCCCAAACTGTGCTTGCATATTCTAGGACAGGTCCAAGTTAAATGTATGCCTGTAACTTTACATGTACCTCCATAGGTCTTGATGACCGGTTTTTTTTCAACAACCCAATTAAAGAGTTCTATAAGATTTGTTGCATATATCCTTAATGTGTTTTCTGCAATGAAAGTCGCTACTAATGCTGACTCCCAGGCATTTTTATTGATTTTAAGAATACATGTTCTATGCTTTTCAAGGTGTACTTAAATTCTGATTTTTCTTATTGTGACTTAGGGTCACTCATGTATTTGACAGGATAATGTTGGAAACCCATTCCCCAAGTTACAGCCCATGTACCCAAAGGGTTTATGTCTTTCTGTAGCTCCAAGCAGTTGTTTATTGTTCTATAGCACATATAGTCGTCTGCTAATAGCCTGATCTCCAATATCAAATAACCAACTTTGTCACTAATATGGCTAAGGATTAGGATTGGCCCGAGAATTGTTCCATGAGGAGCTTCTGAAATACTGCTGAATTGCCATATTTGCTATCATTTACTACTTCTTATTGTGACCTGTTGGACAGGAATAAGTCTATCCAGTTCATGATGTTTTTTGGTACATCATATTTGTGGAGTTTGCTTTTCAGCAGTTCATGTGGCACTATGTGGGATGCCTTTTTGAAATCTTAAAAGAAAATGTCTACTTGTTGCTGGATGTTGATGGCACTTGCCCCATCGAGAATGACATTTACAAGTGGATTTTCGTAGCTATGATGTTTACAGAATGCATGTTGCCTGTTGTTGTGAATGTTGATCTTCTCAAAATACTGCATCAAGTTGGAGCAAATGATAGGTTCCAATAGTTTGCATAAAATTAAAAGTGGTAAGCAATGTCTGCAAATACATGAAGCTATGCATAAATAAATCCATTATTTTAAAGGTTATCCTGAAATTTCAAAGACATTTAAAATTTTTATGTGTGTCAAACATGTCAAACAAAATCTTTAAAATTTGGTAGTTTTTGCTTCTCCCCTTTGACCCAATACACACAACATTAAGATATAAGAGGCAAAGACGGGTCTACTTTTGGTCTAATTAGGGTGACATTTCATCCCCTGGACTGATACCTTGTGAGCTAGTTCCATTAAAACTCTGATTTTCACCCTGTCTTCAAGCTAGTTGAGAGCCAATGTGAATATTTGCCAAAACAGAAGACTTTACATCAAGTCTGTTACCATCATTGACTTCTCACATCAGAAACAGAAGACTTTACATCAAGTCTGTTACCATCATTGACTTCTCACTTCAGAAACAGAAGACTTTACAACAAGTCTGTGACCATCATTGACTTCTCACTTCAGAAACAGAAGACTTTACTTCAAGTCTGTTACCATCATTGACTTCTCACATCAGAAACAGAAGACTTTACAACAAGTCTGTGACCATCATTGACTTCTCACTTCAGAAACAGAAGATTTTACATCAAGTCTGTTACCATCATTGACTTCTCACTTCAGAAACAGAAGACTTTACATCAAGTCTGTTACCATCATTCACCTCTCACTTCAGAAACAGAAGACTTAACATCAAGTCTGTCACCATCATTGACTTCTCACTTCAGAAACAGAAGACTTTACTTCAAGTCTGTTACCATCATTGACCTCTCACTTCAGAAACAGAAGACTTTACATCAAGTCTGTGACCATCATTGACCTCTCACATCAGAAACAGAAGACTTTACATCAAGTCTGTTACCATCATTGACCTCTCACATCAGAAACAGAAGACTTTACATCAAGTCTGTGACCATCATTGACCTCTCACTTCAGAAACAGAAGACTTTACATCAAGTCTGTTACCATCATTGACTTCTCACTTCAGAAACAGAAGACTTTACATCAAGTCTGTTACCATCATTGACTTCTCACTTCAGAAACAGAAGACTTTACAACAAGTCTGTTACCATCATTGACTTCTCACTTCAGAAACAGAAGACTTTACATCAAGTCTGTTACCATCATTGACTTCTCACATCAGAAACAGAAGACTTTACAACAAGTCTGTTACCATCATTGACCTCTCACTTCAGAAACAGAAGACTTTACATCAAGTCTGTCACCATCATTGACCTCTCACATCAGAACCAGAAGACTTTACATCAAGTCTGTCACCATCATTGACCTCTCACTTCAGAAACAGAAGACTTTACATCAAGTCTGTTACCATCATTGACCTCTCACTTCAGAAACAGAAGACTTTACATCAAGTCTGTTACCATCATTGACTTCTCACATCAGAAACAGAAGACTTTACAACAAGTCTGTTACCATCATTGACCTCTCACTTCAGAAACAGAAGACTTTACATCAAGTTTCAGAAACAGAAGACTTTACATCAAGTCTGTTACCATCATTGACCTCTCACTTCAGAAACAAGACTTTACATCAAGTCTGTGACCATCATTGACCTCTCACTTCAGAAACAGAAGACTTTACATCAAGTCTGTGACCATCATTGACTTCTCACATCAGAAACAGAAGACTTTACATCAAGTCTGTGACCATCATTGACCTCTCACTTCAGAAACAGAAGACTTTACATCAAGTCTGTCACCATCATTGACCTCTCACTTCAGAAACAGAAGATTTTACATCAAGTCTGTTACCATCATTGACCTCTCACTTCAGAAACAGAAGACTTTACATCAAGTCTGTTACCATCATTGACTTCTCACTTCAGAAACAAAAGACTTTACATAAAGTCTGTTACCATCATTCACCTCTCACTTCAGAAACAGAAGACTTTACATCAAGTCTGTTACCATCATTGACTTCTCACATCAGAAACAGAAGACTTTACATCAAGTCTGTTACCATCATTGACTTCTCACTTCAGAAACAGAAGACTTTACATCAAGTCTGTTACCATCATTGACTTCTCACTTCAGAAACAGAAGACTTTACATCAAGTCTGTTACCATCATTGACTTCTCACTTCAGAAACAGAAGACTTTTCATCAAGTCTGTTACCATCATTGACTTCTCAAATCAGAAACAGAAGACTTTACATCAAGTCTGTTACCATCATTGACTTCTCAATTCAGAAACAGAAGACTTTACATCAAGTCTGTCACCATCATTGACTTCTCACTTCAG